GGATCTGTTCATTAAAAAAAGTTTATTAGAAAAATATGTGTGTAGGAAAGTTCTAGAAGAAAGTAACAGAAAGGTAGTTGGAATCATATTTTGCTGAGCCATATACATAATACTGAAGAATTTGAGCTTTCTTCCTGAGGGAACGAAAAGCTACAAAGTTGTCCACAACAGAGTAACATGCAAAAAGCCTTTTATTGGGGTGATCAGAGTGACATCTAGAAGGTGGACGGATTGAATGAGAGTAAGAAAATAGAGGCAATATCTAATATATCATTCCCCTCCAATTTAATGAATGTTCACTTTGCTTCTCTAATTATCACATATCAGTTGGCTATTGCTGTGTAACAAATCACCTCCAAACTCAGTGACTGAAAACAATAAGCACATATTATTGGTCGTAAGTGTATTGGTCAACTGGGTTATTCCTCTGGTCTTGGCAGAACTCACACAAGCATCCGTAGTCAGCAACACTGTTGATGTTAGCTCAGCTTTCTCATGTGTTTTGACTGACTAGGGACTGACCTAGGATGGTCTCCACAGAGACAACTGGGCTCCCCATATGATTTCTCACCCCTCAGCATGCTAGCCCAGGCTTGTTAGATGAAGGCAGGGGGCCAAGAGAACAGGCAGAAGCACATAAAGCCTCTGCAGGCCTGGCCTAGGAAATGACACAACATCCCCTCTGTTGCATTCTACTTGCCCAAGCAAGTCATAAGTCCAGCTCAGATTTAAGATGTAAAGAAACAAACTCCATCTCTTAAAGGGGGAAGATAGAAAGTCACACTGTCAGAGGTGGAGACTCAGTGAAGCCATCAGCTGGGAAGGAAACACAAGGAGCTAGGCATCCTCTCCCACGTTTTACCCATGCTAACTTTTTTTCTGCCATAAGCCCAGAAGGTACATGGCTATTCTCACCATTTTACAGACAAGGAACCTAAGCTTCTAAGTGGTTAATAACTTACCCAAAGTCACATATAATTGAGCAGTGTTTGAATCTTAGACTACTTCCAAAGCCCATGCAATTGATTTTTGGCTAGAGATCATTATGTTGAAAAAGAGTGAAAATCAAGGGTAAAGGAGGAGGAACACTATGCTGAGGTCAAGAGAATTAAATTCAAGTACCAGCTATTTTCCTTTCCTTATCTCTAATATATCCAGCTGACTCACAGAGGCTAACATAAAAACTAAAACGTCTACACACACAGAAGTGTTTTGAAAACTACAACATTCCATACAAATATAATAGATCCTTACTCAAATTTTTAATATCCCTTATAGAATCTGGAATATACAGCAAGAGGTGAGCAACAATCTCCCGGGAAAAGGACTTACTTATCTAAAATTATTCAAAATAAGCCATACCAAAAATACGTCCCAAAATAGGCCAAAAATTTTTATATCTTTTTGCTTATGACAAATTTCATTAAGGGAAGATTCATGGATGTTAAGAAATTATTGTTAATATTTTTAAGACATGATAAAGCTGTTGCAGCTTACGTCTTTCTAAAGAGTTCTTATTTTGTAGAGTTGTAGTAGCAGTGAAAGAAATGATAAGAAGTCAGAAATTTGTCCAGAAAGGGTTAATTAGGGTAGAGCTGAAAGATTAACTATGATTAATTACTGAAGCTGAGTGATAGGTACTTTTGTGCCTGCTTGAAATAATAAGATATTTATAGGAAAAAGGTTTTTCTATTTATTTAAAATCTCAATACAAGTGGACTTCCTTCCTTCAGAATAAAACCTCTTTGCAGCTGATATTTCAGAAATATTCCCAGAGCAATAGGCATGGCACGTTGAATCTGGATACTGTTTCTTTCAACTCTAAAACCAATTACCATCTTTTCTCAATGGCCACAGCATGTTTCCCCAGTTCCTTCCCTGACTTGATTCCTACTCTCATTTGAATTTCAGGGTTCAACTTCCACACGTTAACCACTGCAATCTCACTCCACCCTCGCTATCTTTTCTTAGTAATTGTCTATTCACCCTTGCCTGAGCCACTCTCCACAATATGTTTTTCTGGGTAGCAGACTATGGAGCAGGGCTCGTGTTGATTTTGTGCAGCCCACATTCCTGGAATGTTAGCGCTAAGCACAGAATTTGACCTGACACAGTGAAGAAAGAGTTCAAATGCAAACTCCAAAGATATCCATCCCACAGAATAAATGCCAATAAGCAATTTCCTTTTCCCAGCCTACAGAGATTTTCATCAGATAGCCCATAACAGACAGAACCCATGCCAATATTTTATAACCCATAAAATTTCTTCAAGCAATTGTACAGATTTCCAGCCACCCTTTGATCAGTCTTTGTAACAGTGACTCCGGGCCTTCGTCTAAAAATGATTCCTAGATCTCGATATATATACAATGGAAAAGATCTGGCCTTCAGAAAGTCTCTCATTAAAGCGCTAATCTGTTCCACCACATTCTTCTGAGACACAGCGATCGGCATTCTAGCCAGCCTCAATGGCCAGCCCTAATAAGGCTGATAGAAACAGCTTAAGTAATTGGATTGCTATATGGGATTGAATGTCTGACAACAAAAGATAGCCATCTCTATTCGACCACCATATCTTTGTTCCAGCAATGAATTCATTTAGCAATGCACTTAGAGGCTCCTGGGCCCAGGGAGAAATGACAGACTAGGGACACAAAAGCTAGGCCAGCTGATGAGCCCAGAGACAGAGGCTACGCAATTCCAAAAAGTTAATTATGGTGAACACAGGCAGCAGACAATGACTTGTTGAATCATTACCATAATCACATTACTGCACTGGTCTCCAGTTCCCAGCCAAGGGCGGTGTTGGCTACTTCTCATTCTGACCGTGTACTTCATCCTCACTTGCCACCTGCAATCTACTGTACGTGACTTCTTGGCTGATACACTCTTAACTAGCCCAGCTTATTCATGTGTCCTAGACATTTTTTAAAATTTTAATATTTTTTTCTATCAAAAGAGACTGATAGTACAGAAGTGTTCAAACTGTCAGTGTAGAAGATGTTGGTGCTAAAATTATCTCAAATTTGTCTCTAAATTTGTGACTTGGAAAAACAGTATTTCCATTAAAATATAATTACAATATTGGGGCACCTGTGGCTCAGTTGGTTAAGCATCTGCCTTCGGCTCAGGTCATGATCCCAGGGTCTTGGGATCGAGCCGCACATTGGCTCCCTGCTCAGCGGGGAGTCTGCTTCTCCCTTTCCCTCAGCCCCTTCCCCCTGCTCATGTTCTCTCTCTCCCAATCTCTCTCTCAGATGGATAAATAAAATCTTTAAAAATACATACATATAATTAAAATATCAAAATCCTGTATTTATATATAATTTCAAATAGGTCTAAACAAAATAATTAATATGATATAAATCAAAATGTTGATTTATAACTTCAGGTAGATCTAAAAAGAGTTAATATAAATCAGAATATTGATATCTAAAGCCAATCTTAGAGTAAAAAACAGCAAGTACTCCCCACACTCAATAAGTCTTAAGCAATATTTCCAGTTAATATTTTCCTAGAAGCTTTGACGTATTTATTTCTTGACCACTGGGTATTTCATTTTCTCAGTGGTGTGACAAATTATTTTCACTTTTAACTTCTCTGGGACAGTTTTGATCTCTCTGGAAAAAATACCAGCCAGTAAGTGAGAATGGCATCTCATTTTATAATAAACAAAGATATTGGTATAATGACCATCACCAAAAATGTAATAACACAGCAGCAATAATAAGAGTAGAAATATTATTATTAAATTATAATTACTTTGGACATGCCAAATTAGAATGAGGATTCTAAATATTTCTAAATGAAATTCTGATTGAGCCATAGAATATTCTGTAAGAAAGCTCAGGGATCATTCATTCTGCATTAAAATGGAAAGAAATAGCAAAGCCAGGATATCTTTGCTCTTTCAAACAGTGGCACAAAAGAAGCACAAATACAAATGTCTTGACATCGAGTCCAACACTCCAGGTCCTTAAAGAGCGTGGTTCAGCCAAGATTCCTTGCCCAACTTGGCAAAGAGATAGAACTAGCTCCCAGTCCAAATGTGACATTGGATCATAACTGCAAATACACAATCATATGTTGTCCAAAGCTGGCATGTTTTTCCCTTCTCAATTTATCATACTGCCAAATGGAGAACATAGTCTCAAACTGCTATAACCATTTTTATGGTTTATTGAAATACTTCTAATCATGCATAAAGAACATATATTTCAGGGACACCTCAGTGGCTCAGTCGGTTAAGTGTCTGACTCTTGATTTTGACCTGGATCATGACCTTGCGATTATGGAATCAGGCCCGCGTAGGGATCCATGCTGAGTGTGGAGCCTGATTGATTCTCTTCCTCTGCTCCTCCCCCCAGCTCTAGGAAGAAAGAAAAGGAAAGGGAAGAAAAAGAAAGGGAAGGAAGGAAAGGGAAGGAAGGAAGGAAGGAAGAAAAGAAAAGAAAGGAAGGAAGGAAGGAAGGAAGGAAGGAAGGAAGGAAGGAAAGAAAAGAACAGAACATATGTCTCATTTTGACATAAATCATGAGCAGAACCAAAGAATGATTTCTACTCAAACCTTCTCAGCAGAGACTGCTATGCTCTAAGCTTTACTATGATAAAATGGGCCTCAAGTTTAAAAAAAATCCCAAATACCTACCTTCATTTCTTTTTATTTTCTAAAAGGGATTAAAGTTGCAATCAATCTATATACAAAACAATCAAGACCAATAATATTTGCCGTATCTTTAAGCACAATGGCTGAGTAGGACAGGAAGTGGGTCCTACATCCTATAGGAAGTTCTTCTTCATCATACCAGTCTTCCAAGCCCTTCTCTCCCCTCCCATCTATGCCTTAGGCTCCTTCCATTCCACCATTCATTCCTCACTTACCATGCTGTGCCTGAACTGGAAACTGTTCCTGCTTTTTTCAGAAAAAGCATGTATTTCTTCCCCCCTTCCCTAGATCTAATAATACTTATATACAACGTAAATATGCATCCATGGCTTACCTTTGAGGTCATCACCAATTTCCCAAGAAAATAAGAAAACAATAGGCTTCTAGTTCCAATGTTTGCAGTCTTTCTAAATCACGTAAAGTATGACTAGAACACAGCCACAGCTTTGTATAAACCCCAAACCTGACAGCCACTTACACGGTTACAGGAAACGTATGTCTACACAGACGGGGCCTTTGTCTTGAAGCGGTAAATACCCACTACATCTGTGACTAACAGTGAAATCACTTCTTTCCTGAGACCACGCCCTGGCTCCTCTCCTAACTGCTCTGGGGTCACGCAGGAAAGCATGACATATTGAAGAGAGGTAGACGTATGTCCCCTGACCCACAGTCATTTCACATTTTCCTTGTTTCTTATCCATTGTTCTCGGCCTTGTCACCTGCCCCTGCATGGCAATGTAAGGCTGTTGGTCCTTTGAAAAGGCTCGGGAAATCTCTGATCAAAGGGCCTTTCCCCACCTCCACGTGGGTTTCTCTTGTCCCTGAGATGAAGGCCTAACAAGAATCTGGGCTGATTTCTACGCTTTACCCTTACGCCTAGACCATTCCCAGGCCCAGCTGTCATTTGTGGAGTATCTGCCTCACAGGCTCTTCTCTGATTTTCTAGGCTTTTCCCAGTTAGCACAACATCAATACTATATACTGCCAGCCTAACATATACAGGACATTGGGCTTACAAATGAATTTTATTTATGCTCTACACTTTTATTGTTTTTATAAATTCATCACCAGTATTTTTAAATCAAGAGATTTCATCTATTAATTAAGATGTCTAACTGCTTTTTAGAAATTAGAAGATTTGACCACCCCTGGTCTGCATTACCACCTGGCAGCATCAGCTGAAGCTGAGTAATGGCTGCCCTTTTAGACATAGAGGCCTCTCCCCTTCTCAACTGTCCGCATCACCCCCCATTGCCATACACCAGACCCTTATACTCAGGTATGTGTCTGCCATGGCAGAAACTAGATAGTAGCTCACAAAACATGATTCTCCTCCTTACTGAACACACAAGGCTCTATCTCCCATTCTCCCTTGCAGTTGGGTGTGGTCATGTGACTATGTTCTGGCCAATGGAATACGAGTGGTCACTCTATGGTAAGTTCCATAAAATCTCTCACATGTGATCATTCACACTCTTTCTTCCTCCACTTGATGCAATCAAGCCATGTATTAAAAATGGCAGAGCCACTGGACAGAAGAATCTTAGGTTGGGAGATCCACTTGCAAGAAATGAAACTACTTCTATCATGTTTGAGCAATCATGCATTTTGAATTTGTTTGTTACAGCAGCTAACATGAGCTTAACACATCTGCCTTTCAACTTCACAGGAAGTCCCTGACTTAATGCCTGTATGCCCATATTTCTCACCTTACATTGATCTGACCATGACTAATCTCTCTGAAAGGCACCATTTCTTATAAAAATCTACCCACCATGAACTTCAAAAGATGTACTTCCTTCCTGGACCTCCCTAGTGACTAGCTTTGTATAACAACATTAATTTATGTAGCTATGATTGTGTCTGAACTTGCCTGTCCCCTAACCTAAATCCTCACCTTATACCCTAGAAAGTTCTGGCTCTGGTCTCCATGAACTTCTCCTTGGAAAAGTAATGGACATTATGAACAATAGAATTAAAATAAATATAATCACAGTCCTTGGAATTTGAAAAAATTCACTGAGATATTATGGTCCATCAGCAGAATTTTTTTTCAAGGTAACCGAAGTCTAGAAAAGAAAAATGACTTGCCTAAAATCACACAGTCAGAAGATAGGAGAGAGGAATCAAACTGTCCTTTTTTTATTTCCAAATGCAGTATACTTGACATCATCCTTCATCTCTAATTACAAACCACAGTGGTATTTTGCCTTTATCTACCACACACACACACACACACACACGCACACACACACACACAGCCCTAGCAATTTATGGAACATTCATTTTGTGCTAAGTACTATTCTGAATCTTTTGCATGCACTTCTTAAATTTTAATTTCAGAATAAATATATGAAGTTCTACAATGTCCATTTTATGATGCAAAAAGTTGAGGTACAAAGAAGTTAATGAAATTTTTCAATATCACATATCTAGAAAATAGAAGGCAGGGTCTAACTCAAAAGTCCATGCTCCAAAAGCCCATATTATATTGCCCATTACAAATTTACCTTTCTTCCTAGAAGGAAGCACTTTTTGCATCAGTTAGTTTTCCTGGGAAACAAACCACCTTAAAATAGAGTAGCACTAAGCAACAACCATTTGCTTAGCCATGATCCTATGGGGTAGCAATTTGGGCAAGGCTCAGTGGGGCAGTTCTTCTACTGGCATTACCTGGGCTCATTCATGTATGTGAGGTCAGCTGGCCAGTTAGGTTGTGGCTAGATGAGCCAGATAACCTCATGATCATATCTGTGAAGAGCCAGGATGACTGACATGGCACAGCCTCTCTCCACATGATCTCTCATCCTCCAGCAGACTAGCCAACACTTGTTCCAAGGTTGGTGGTTACACTGTTCCCAAGAGCCCAAGAGTATCACAAAAGGCAAGTACCAAAGTACCATTATTTCTCAGTTCTCTGCTGGTGTCCTAGTTGCTACTATTCGGCTAGCCAAAGCAAGTCACATGGCTAACTCCAGTTGCAAAAATGGAGAAATAGACTACTTCTTGATAGGCAGACCTTCAAAATTATATTTCAGGGGCACACAGAATGGGATGGGAAAAATTTAGGGACATTTTCAATATTTCATGTAATTTAATTATTTTCTTCTAGTACTTACATCCATATTTCTAAATAATATGTGTATATGGCTACCTCTTAAATAACCAATTTTAAATATTATCTTCTGGTTTGTTATTATGACAACTAAAAATTTAGGTTTTTTTTTTTATCCCTTTCCTTTCTACCAAAAATTCATGTACCTCTCATTCAAATTCCCTATGTGCTTTATACATAAAGATATATATTTCCTCCAAATCATATGAGAATAAATAGTAGACATGATGCCTCTTTATCCCTAAATATTTCAGTGTATATTTCCAAAATCAAGGCTTATTATAACCAACTGTAAATTATTAAAAATCAGGAAATTAACTTTATAATACTATGACCTACTCTATCTGGTACTGTCGAATATAATAGCCATTAGCCACATGTGACTAAATATATTTCTATTTAAACTAGTAAAAATTAAACATTCAGTTCCCTGGTCATATTAGCCACGTTTGAAGTGCTCAATTGCCACATATGGCTGGAGACTGTTATATTGAATAGTGTAGAGAATGTTTCCATCATCACAGAAAGTCTCAGTGGACGATGTTCGTCTATATCTTTCAGGCCCTGTTAGTTTATACTTACAGATTTATAGAGATAAAATCTGTAGGTGTTACAAGATTGTAGTACAAGGTAGTAATTAGTACCCCTATTTTTAGATAGGGAGACAAAATTAGAAAAGTGAACTGTGTCCATGTCTCTATAGTAAGTCAATCCTATAAGAAGGGATTTGAATCTAAGTTCAATCATTGGAAAGACTTTTCTCCTACCACAGCAACATATTCCATTCCCAAGAAACATAAGTCCATGTCTTGGGTTAGGTTCTCCAGAAGCAGAGCCTAAGACAAAGACTCATGTGCACAAAATTATTAAGCTCTCCCTTTATTAGGGAAGATCTCCCAGGGGAAACAGTAAAGGAATGAGGGAATCAACACAGGGCAAACAGAGCCAAGGAAGGTGGCGATAGGAAGTGAAGTTCAGCCTGATCTAGCAGGTCATTGTGAAGCATAAATCATACTCCAAGTGGGACTTGTCCCACTTGGAGGCAAGGGAGCTAGGCTGTCAACATGCCTACATCCATCAGCTGTTGGCTACGGGTTGCACCAAGGGGATATCAACTTCTAGGTACTTGTTGTGTGGGCAAAGCAGTGCCAGTAGTGCAAGGGCTGTCCTCCAAAGAAGGCCAGTAGTTCCCACTGTTGGGAATCAAAGCACAGAGAGGCTGAGGCATGAGCACTCTGAACCCCCTGAAAGGGGGCAGAGAACATTGGGAGCAGCCCAGATAAAAAACACGGCAGAGTACTCTACCTTACTATTCTTTGTAAAATGTGTTCGTTAACTATCTCCCCATGTGGCCTTTTGTATAAGTAACACTTGAAAATCTAGCTGGTTCAGAATAAGTGCTCGCTTACCCTGGCCTATTTCCATGAGATATTTGTTTGAGCCTACAATATCAGTTGAGGAATAATGGGTGGGGTGGGTGGGGCCACCCTTGATAAGGAGCATAAAATCAAAGGGCAAGAACCATGGAACACAGAACCAGGGGCATCTGAATGCAAACCAGGTTGCTGTTAGGGGAACCCTCCATTGGAGAAGTGTCTTCTCCTGCACTACAATCCAACCAGACTACAGAAACCCACACAAAGTAGTTTCAGTAAAAGGGGAAGAGGGGATTGTTTCGTACAATTCAAGAGTGCCTCATATAACTCAAGATTACAAAATTTAGTGGGGCATAACAAGAAAGCTAGAGAACCAGCAGGAACAAGCTGTCTCCTCTTTCCCTTTTTGCTCTTTCCTTTCTCTATATACCCTTGGATTTCTGCTTCTCTATGCACATGGACCAAAAACACCTGCCCCAGACCCAGGGTCCACAGACCGCATGGGCTCCAGAAGTAGATCCAGAAGTATGGACTTCTCATTCTCTGGATTAATTAAAATCTCAATCAGGATAGAATCCAATTAGCTCAGTTCTCATGTCAACTGTCAGAGACCTTGGGACTTGTTATAAAGATGGTATCAGGGCCTTTGGGAAGGGTACAGATTAAGTTAAGTGGTGTGGCAGACTATTTTTTCCAAAAGTGGCCACAGCAATATCTCTGGCGTCCTATATTGTTCTGAGCCCTGCCACTCACCCTGAAAAGTAGGGTCCATGTTCCCTTCTCTTGAATCCGGGCTGGAGCTTTTGACTGCTCTGACAAGTCAATAGTATCGGGCAGAAGTGGTACCAGGAGACTTCCAAGGCTGCTAGGTCATTAAAAAGATATAGTTTCTGCCTGGTGCTCCCTCCTCTCTCTCCTTTTCTTTTTTTTTAAGATCTTATTTATTTATTTGACAGAGAGAAAGAGAGACACACAGCGAGAGAGG